TTAAAGGCGTGCGCCACCACCTCCCGGCTTTCTTGTTTCTTTTAAGGCCTTAGAGTGCTGAGGCCCTGACTTTCTATTTTCTATGTACTTTTCAGATTGATGCATCATGCCTTACGTGGGAAGGACAGCAGTTCCAGGGGAAAGCTGCCATTGTGGAGAAGTTGTCTGTAAGTAAAGCCCAGAACTGGGAAACAGGTAGTTTATCTCATGCCCTTCTAACCTCAGCCTGCCTCCCATTCTTTGTCTTGCAGAGCCTTCCGTTCCAGAAAATCCAGCATAGTATCACGGCGCAGGACCATCAGCCTACACCAGATAGCTGTATCATCAGCATGGTTGTAGGCCAGCTCAAGGTAGTAGTGCCACTGTGTTTGAGAGTAGTCGTGGGTAGGCAAAGCAGGGCCCTGGGCTACTGCCTTCCCTGTGGATATCAGGATGTGGTGTGTTTGAGGGACATCCAGAGTAACTGGATGTCAAAACAAAAGCCAAAGTAATTGCCTAGGTGTGCCTTTTTCTTTTCTTCTGTGGCCTTTTGAGATAGGATTTTGATGTGGGATTCTGTATGCTGTGGATACCATTGATAAATAAGGAAATTGCCTTGGCCTTTTGATAGGGCAGAACTTAGGTAGGCGGGGAAAACTAAACTGAATGCTGCCAGAAAGGAGACAGAGTCAGAGAGAAGCACATAGCCTGCTGGAGATAGACGCTGAGAGCTTTTCCTGGTAAGCCACAGACATGTGGCAATGCACAGATTACTAGAAATAAGTTAAATTAATATGTAAGAGTTAGCAGGTAAGAAGCTAGAGCTAATGGGCCAAGCAGTGACTTAATTAATACAGTTTCTGTGTCGTTATTTCGGTCTGAGCAGTCGGGCCAACAAGTGGCCTCTAACAACAGGGTTTCTAGTGAGCCTAGCCTTTTAATGGCTTAGCCATCTCTCCAGCCCGAGATAGGGTTTCTTTGAGTGGCTTGACTGTCCTAGAACTAACTCAGTCTGGCTTCAAACTCAGAGATCCCACCAGCTCATAGTTCTGCTTTAGCCTCCCCAGAGCCAGTGTTACAGGTGTGAGCCATCACATGAAGAAGTCATGTTTTTCTTACTCCCACATTCCACCCCTCCCCACCTGAACGCTTTCCCTTATTTTTTAGTGAATAAAAAATATTTTTTGAGATGGTCTCATGTCACCCGAGGTGATCTCATTTTCTCTGTGTAGCTAGGATCATCTTGAACTCTAATCCTCCTGCCTCTACTCCTCAAGAGCTCCAATTACAAGTGTGTGCCAATCCATATAGCTTTATTTATTTATTTTGAGTCAGAGTCTCACCATATTTCAGCCTTATCTCAACATTTTGATCCTAGAATGCTGGGATTACATGCATGAGTCACCAGATATTTTGGGGTTTTTTGTTTGATTTTGGAACTAGCTCTTGTAGACCAAGTTGGCCTCAAACTCAAAGTGATCCACCTGTCTCCGCCTCCCGAGTGCTGGGTTTAAAGGCATGTCCCACCACTGCCTGGCAACATTTTTTTTTTAAGATTTGTTTATTTATTATGTATTCAGTGTTCTGTCTGCATGTATGCCTACAGACCAGAAGAGAGCACCAGATCTCGTTATACAGATGGTTGTGAGCCACCATGTGGTTGCTGGGAATTGAACTCAGGACATCTGAAAGAACAGTCAGTGCTCTTAACCTCTGAGCCATCTCTCCAGCCCCCTCCTTTTCCCCTCTTAAGTCCTTATCCTTATCGACATCCTTACTGTCATCCTCGTAGTCAGATAGTATTTTCAAAGGCAGGACAAATTGGCTGACCCCTTGGCCAGATCTCAGCTTTCTGGGAATACGTTGTGGTAGGTCTCTGTGTATGCCCACATTTCCCCTCGACTTCCTGCATCCAGTATGGGTGTGGAAGGGGAGGTTTTGGGTCCAGTATGTATGTGGAAAGAGTGTCCTGAGCCTCTGTATTGGACCTAGAGGGAATACCTACAAGTCTGGCCTTACTCTTCTGCCAGTTTCTTTTGCCTTTTCTTAGTGCCCTGCCCAGAACCAGCAAGCCAATAGGCCCTTAGAGTTGAGGAGGTATTTCCAAGGAGCCCATTGTCCCCGTCGTAGACTGAGGTCATAATTCTTCCTGGTGTTTCTGTCCAACCTGGAGCTTCAAGTGACTAATTTGCCTCCTTGTTGGCTGTGGTTCTTAGAAAACAAAATGATGCTGAGAACCGCCTGTTGACTAGGCTTTTTCCTCATTTTCTGAGTTCTGGTTAGAGGTTTGGGGCCTGCATTAGTACTGTTGCAGTACAATGCTGGTCATTTCCCCATCTTACCCCACCCCTTATAAAATTGTGACCCTAAAGTGAAATTTGTGTGTGTGTGTGTTATTTTACTTATTTGGGTTTTGAGGGGGCTTATTTGTTTGATTCTTTGTTTTGCACTGGCAGACATGTCTGTCTCACCATGCCCACTGTGAACCCAGTTTTGAACCTTAAATCATTTTACCAGACAATTAGTTTTAGCAGTAATTTCTTCTGATTGGACTAACTGGCTTTATTGACTAAGATTGCTTATGGTTTTTTGATACTATAAATTAAATAGTAAGTGCTACAAGATTCTTTAATTTTTTAAAAAAAAAAATTTTATAACATCTACCCAGAGACAGTGTTGAGTACAGAGACAGGCAGGTCCTCTGCTCTGAGCAGTGCACGTTCACACGTACCTATGCTGTACTGGAATTCAGGTTTAAGACAGTAAGTGCCTAGCTGTGCGGTGGTGGAGCAGGCCTTTAATACCAGCATTAATGAGGCAGAGGCAGGTGGATCTTTGTGAGATTGAGTTCCAGGACTGCCAGAGCTACACAGAGAAACCATCTCAAAAAAAAAAAGACAGTAAGTGCCTAAAGTCTGTGTTAAATACCTTGTTCTACCACTGAACGTCCTTCCTGCTCCTTGGCCCTATTACCAAATCCTTTCTTTTCTCATCCATACAGGCCGATGAAGATCCCATCATGGGTTTCCACCAGATGTTTCTATTAAAGAACATCAACGACGCTTGGGTTTGCACCAATGACATGTTCAGGCTTGCCCTGCACAACTTTGGCTGACCTCCTGGCCAGACACTCACGCTGTTTCCTCCTCCCTCCTCTTCCCAATACTATCTCCCTCCTCCAGATGCTTCAAATATCATACACAAATGAGCAGGGCCGAGGTGGGAGTGGGTGCAGTGCGCTTCTGTCACCACGGTGTTGTGCATGATGTTTGGATGCTAGACTAGTTGCATCTGACAGGAGACGTTTGTGTTGTACCAGCGCATGCCTTGGAAAGACTTAAGTAATGCAAAAGATTGTCGGTTTTTGTTTTATTTCATTTTTTAATCTACTGACAAGTTGCTCTAGTAACCCAAAGAAGTGAAGGAGAAAGCAGCTGCCTCACCACCCAGATATTGATTTGTTCAGATGTTTCAATGCCTCATGATACAATAAAACCACAAAAGTTTTCTTAACAGTTTAAATTGTTTTAATTAGTTAAATAGTTGCCTGGGCATCAACAGTTCTGGCCACTTGTTCCTCATGCCGCCCTCCCATCTCTGCCTACCGCAACAGTACCTGCTGCCAGGAGCAAATTGACTGAAGTTAGCAGTCCCAACTAAATTTCTCTCAAGCCTGCTAGGGCTGAGTTCTCCTCAGCCCACTTGGGCTTTGGAAAGCAGGAAGAGCTGGAAACAGGTCTGACCTGAAGCTTGTCGTGTACTGAAGGCTCTTCAGTCGGTTCTGTCTGACATCTCCTGTGGCCTCTGCTCTGAGTAGGTGGTTCGGGTCTAGTAGCAGGGTAGGTGATTCTCCTTGAGCAGCAGAAAGGCCTTGATAAATACGGTTTTCCATGTTTAGACTCTCTGGGTGGAAGTCCCAGGAGGAGGGACCCGCTCTATCCCCAAAACAGAATCAGATTCAGAGTGCCCACATTCCCCATGCAAAACAAGAGATGCTGTTCTGCCTGCTTGGGATATTAGGCAGTCCCCACTGAATTGGAGTATAAATTCCACATTATGGAAAAAATCAGTATAAAAGAGTCATGCTCTAGTTCTGCAGGGCGTTTACACACCGTCTCCTTACCTTCCACACACCTGAGCTCTTCAAATCCCAGGGAGTCCTAACAGGGCAGTTTCTGCCCTGCTCCTTTGTTTGGGCACAGGTCTTGCCTAGTATAAAGCTGGTATCAAGAAAGCAACTGCTGGCTAGAGCCAAGCCTAGGATTGGTTGGGCACACCTGAAAACTTCCCCTTCTTCCCCCACTCCCATCCTGCACTGGGGGGTGGGGAGTAAATTTCCTTATACGCCACAGGTTGCCTGGTCACACCAGCATAGTCCTGGACTGCTGTGTCCATAGTCCTGCACACAGGAGGTATCAGTGGGACTGATCTCTAAGCTGCTGTGTATTGGGGGACGTAGGAGTGGGGAAGAGGTAGGTACCCGCTGCCTCTTAATCCACCCTGTATATAAAATCTGCAATACAGCTTCTTCCATGTACCTGTGCCTGAAATGTCTGCAATAAAGAGGTGTTTGTAAACTATGGTTTCTTTATTTCTAATTTGAAGTTACCACGTGAGATAAGGGGATGACAGTAGTTGTTTTTTTTTTTTTTTTTTTTTTTTTTTTGTGGTAATAACCATCTTCGCAAGTGTCTAGGTCTTGTTTACTCCTAAGGAGGAACAGATTTCTACCAATTCACCTTTTTCAAGGTCTGAAAAGTCAGTACTGGATGTTAGAGTTGGTTCTGAGTTCATCAGAATGAGCCAGGGCCTGGGTTGGATCCCCGGAGACAACAGGGCTTTAAGCAACCCAGTGCTCTATGAGCGCATTTGCTCTTTCTCAGTCTTGGTAAATTTCTCCACTGCTGAGCTAGCCTGAAGCTAAGGAAGGCAAACTCAGATGGGAGCTAATTGGTCGCCCACACCGCGGAACCTTTCTTCTGCGGTCCTTGTAGGATCCGGGAAGAAAAGGTCAGTAGGACCGGAAGTGGAGGCGGTTGGTGGGGTTGGCGGGGCTCAGAGACGCAACCCCGGTGGCGGTTTGCGAACTGCGGGTAGATATTGTGTAGCGCTTGGTCCTCTGCTGTCTGGTGGGGTCGTGGCTGAGCGAATTTGGACAGTGCACGGAGGTAGAGAAACTAACCTCTTGCGAGCCGGACTTTCGTGGCTGGGCCCATGGCGTCCTGCGCGAGCATCGACATCGAGGACGCCACGCAGCATCTGCGGGACATCCTCAAGCTGGACCGGCCCGCGGGAGGTGAGCCGGGATGGAATGAGGGGCCTCTTGTAGAAGAGGCCGACCTCTGGCGTAGATCTGATCCGTCCGCGGGTGCCGCATGCCCTTTTAGACAGGCTCTGGAACCTCCCATTTGATTGCGGAGGACGAATATTGGAGTCATGGATGATCCCTGGGCATATCCAGAGAATGGCGCAGACCCCTGGGTGTTATCTTTACCCCTCCCTATCCCGTGCAAGACCATTCTGCCTTGTCTTTAAGTATTTTGGCCAAAGGTAAGAGTCCTCAGAATCTACCCAATCCTTCTGACTTCCTTGCCTCCAAACTCCAGTGTTTTGAGGACTGGCCCTGTACCCCTACTCGTCATGATTCGGAGGCCTGGTGCAGTGTCTGTTTACGGAGTTCTGGGCCTAGAGTTAAGCGATATTCAGAAGAGCCTCATTTCCTCTTCATAACTTGCCTCCCCCCTCCCCCCAGAATGTAGACTCCAGGCCTGATGTCACTCTGAAACTGATTTTCTGATAAAAGGTGGACAACCCCAAACCCAAGTTCTTAATAGATTGAAGGCAAATCACAGACACTGTGGCTCTGATTAGATTAGGTTCCACACATCTGCAAACCCATATGTTCCCAATTCATCTGAGTTTTACTTAGCTCCTAGTATCCCTTTTGGTGCTACTCTTGCCAGATAAGAGTTCCAGGGCAGAAAGCCTACAAAGTTGTGGTATACTCTTGTTCCTGTAAAAGATGGTTGTTTGAAAAAAAAAAAAAAAAAGATGGTTGTGATAGCAGTGGGGGGGGGGGTGTGAGAGAGAGACAGGGCGGGTCTGAGAGGAAACTATTTGGGCTAGATCAAGTACTATAGACAAGAAATTGAATGCCAGGAAAACTATTCTAGGTACTTACATAGAAAGCACATATTGCCTAAAGGAAATAGTTTGTATGAAACCTCGATGTTTGAAAGGTTGACTGGTGATAGTGCTGTACATGTAGGCCATAATTGAGAACTGATTCTCTCACACACCTTGTTATACTTGCTGGGAGGGCTCAGATTGCTAAAGCCGGCACTGATAGGCTCTCCAGTGGGGTTAGCAGATACAGATAATCCATTCCTAGCCTGAGACCACTGGGTCTTTGCCTCATGCCTGTAGTGCGTGCTCCCTTTACCCGTGAGGTGCTTTGTGCCTCTGATGCCCACCCTCAGCTGAGCTGGCTATACTCCATAGAGATTTGGTAGAGCCTGGCATAGTTAACTGTATAGACTAGGCCCGTTGTTTATCCTTGTGGTAGAGTGCTTGGAAGGAAGAGTAGCCAGCCTATCTCTGAGCAGCTGGAGTGGTTCTAGTCATAGGAAAAGATAAGAGAGGGGTCTTTCCCTGGAACTCCATTGTTTAATGACTGGTACTTGATTTGTTGTTTTTTGATTTTCGAGACATGGTTTCTCTGTGTAGCCATGGCTGTCCTGTAATTCACTCTGTAGAACAGGCTGACCTCGAACTCACAGAGATCCAGCTCTCTCTGCCTCCAAAATACTGTGATTAAGGCATGGGCCACTATGCCCAGCTTATTCTTTTTTTTTCCCCAAGTACTTTTTGCTTGTCTCTTTTCATTGACGGACCTAAGACTTATCAGCCCTTAGACTATTTCATGACTGAAAACTTGGCTCTTTTCTTGAAGCACCTTACTAGCTTGGAGTTCAGAAAGTGGTGTCTGAATTAATGGGTCTTTGAAACTTAACCAAAAATCAGGCATGGTGGCATTCACCTATAGTCCCAGCTTTTGGGAGGCAGAGGCAGGAGAATTGTCAGTTGAAAGCCACCTCAGGCTACATGTTGAGACCAAATCTCAGTAAAAAAAAAAAAAAAAAAAGTAAATACATAAATTGTTGGAGACATAGCTCAGTGGTAGAGCAATTATCTAGCATGTGCAGTGTCTGAGTTCCATCCCCAGCACTATCCTCCCCCCAAAAAACAAAAACCCACTTAGCATGTATGGGTTGCCCAGGATTCAATCCCCAGCCGTAAGGAGGAGTGGGACCAGCCATTGCAAACATCCAAAATACTGTCATTCCTGATTCCACACTCCACCCCATGCCCATATAGCTTCTCTTTGTCCAGTTCCTCAAGTGCTTACCTTTCCTTCTGAGCTTACCTGCCCAATTCAGGCTTGTTAACTAATTCAGTGTATCAGGCCCCGTCTTTGCTTGAATTGGAGCCATCTCTACAAACTCTACCACTAAGAGTCCAGTTTCTCACGCAGGTTCTTAGTTGTCTGTATGTTGCCTTGGAACAGTCAGGCCACTGGCTCCAGCTGACTATGACAATTTAAAACTCTTCTAGAACCAAGTGTGCTAGCATATACTTGTAATTCCCTCACTTAGGAGGCAGAAGCAAGAAGATCCTAACTTCAAGGCCAGCTGTCTGAACTCCACAGGAAGGCCTTGTCTCACAAAAGGGAGGGAGCTATGAATTTTTATGGCTCTCATTGCACAGAGGGAGAGACTAAGCAATCCAGCCTCATATCAGAGGCACTAGTGGCCCTGTTTTTCTTCTATCCTTTCCATGTTTTGTTTCTGGATTATTTGTTTTTGTTTTGTTTCATACTTTTAAAAAATGGTTTAACCTGTGTATATGTATGTGTGCTACATGTGGGCTTCGGGCCTAAGGAGATCAGAGGAGAGTATCACATCCCTTGGAACTGGAGTTACAGATGGATGTGAACCATCATGTGGGTGCTAAGAATGGAACCTGGCTCTTCTGCAAGAGCAACAACACAGAGCCATCTCTCCTACTTCCTTCTGTTTTGTTTTGAGACAGGATTTTATTATGTAGTCTAGGTTGGCCTGAACTTCATAGATAGCCTAGTATGACCCTGAATTCACCGTCTTTCTGCTTTAATCTCCCAAGTGCTGAGATTATAGCCAAAACACCTAACATTTCCCATGTTTGTATGCTGTAAACGCAATTGTTGTAATGTCCTGATTGTCCTTATACCCTCCTTCAAGTCAAGTTTGTTTGTTAGCCCAAGTATTATTTATTTATTTATTTATTTATTTATTTATTTATTTATTTATTGGTGCTGAAGATCAAACCAAGGGTCTCACATACGGTAAACAAGCAGGCAAACATGCTACCACTAAACTGTGGGTCTGGCCCCATCAGAAGGTTTTTACTGGTTTGTACCCCTCCCACAGGTAGAAGAGTCTCATGGTCCTGCTCTACACCCATACTTGTAGAATAAAAATGAACAAGAAACCCTCCTCCCTATGGATATAAGTGTTCTTGACTACTTTGTGGTCTAGAGCTGTAGGAGAAGCTCACGGCAGGTAAAGAACCTTGTCACAGTGTCTTTTTCCCCCCTAGGCTCCAATGCAGAAAGCCAAAGGCCATCCAGTGCCTACAATGGAGATCTCAATGGGCTCCTGGTTCCAGACCCACTCAGCTCAGGTGATGGTAACTCAACAAGCAAACCTGGTATACGGACCATGCCACTTATTAACCTGCAGGAAAAGCAAGTCATGTGAGTACCTGAGAAATACTAATGGTGGTAATGATATCTTTGGGGTTTTTGCATAGCTAAAGAGGTAAGATTAGGGTCAAGGGGACCAGCAGCCTCTCCTTCTCTTTTGTACTGTCTGGGGCTAAGCACTGTACCATGTTGAATTTATACTAAGAGATGAAGACTGGAATGGAATTAACCTCATTTGTCAGGAGGGAGGTACGCGAGGAGAACTGTGTATGGGAGCATGGACCACACAGAACTGGGAATCTAAGACTAGACATCTCCATCATGTGGATCAGTCCTTAGAACCCTCTACTGCTATTTGGTGAACAGAGACTCGGTTTATGTACCTCTTCCAGTTGCCTCTCTGGAGATGACAGCTCCACTTGCATTGGGATTTTGGCCAAGGAGGTGGAAATTGTAGCCAGCAGTGATTCTAGCATTTCCAGCAAGGCACGGGGGAGCAACAAGGTGAGTACCAGGATTGTAAGGTACATGTTGAAGTAGACTCCCCACAGCTGGGCCTCCCTTCTAGATCCTGGATCAGGCACATACCCAAACACTTGTTTTCACAATGAGATCCTTTATTAAGTAGAAAGAAAAATTAAAGTGACCGATTTCTAACTCTGGCAGAAAACGGCAGTAAATGACCTTACAGGTATAATTTTCTTTCTTTCCTTCTTTCTTTTTGGAGACAGGATTTCTTCTCTGTGTAGCTTTGAAACCTGTCCTGGAACTCACTTTATAGACCAGGCTGGCCTCGAATTCATAGAGATCTGCCTGCCTCCACCTCCTGAGTACTGAGATTAAAGGCATGTACCACCAGTGCCTGGCTGCAGGTGTAATTTAAAAAAAAAAAAAGATTTTTTTAAAATTTATTTATTATGTATACAGTGTTCTGTATGCCTACAGACTAGAAGAAGATACCAGATCTCATTCAGATGGTTGTGAGCCACCATGTGGTTGCTGGGAATTGAACCCAGGACCCCTGGAACCAGTGCTCTTAACTGCTGAGCCATCTCTCCAGCCCCCTGCTGGTGTAAATTTTAGAATGGGCAAGGATGTGGTGGTGTATTCTGATTGGGCATGTTAATTAAGTGAACCAAAGGGAGTTTCGATTACTGGACTTTGGTACTCATCCTCAGGAATGAGCCTGGCATAAGAAAGTGTCCAGGTAAGGGAATAGACCATGATGGCTAGCTTTAGGAGTGCAATCTGATGGTTTTTAACAAGCAGAGGGAATGGGAGAAAGGACAAGTTCTGCCATAGCCACAGACCAGGTTAACGGCCCATCACATGTAGCGTATGGGAGCACACTCAGTGCCTCTCTTCTCTCTCATGTGTGCTTCCAATTCCTATGAGAGCAGCTTTGGTATAAAGTGTGCCTTATTTTCAGAAAACCAGTATTGACTCCCAGTCCTCTGTGGAAATCTGTTCTGGGAGGTATCAGTGGTACTAGGCTTATTCCTGTAGCCTGTCTTGTCCTCAGAATTGGTACCTACTCCAGGTCTCAGCTTCTTCAACCTTCCTTACTCTGAGTTCTCAGGTGAAAATCCAGCCTGTCGCCAAGTATGACTGGGAGCAGAAATACTACTATGGCAACCTGATTGCAGTGTCTAACTCCTTCTTGGCGTACGCCATTAGGGGTAAGTAAGGGGCAGGGCAAAGAGGAAACATTCTGCTAGAAGCCCCAGAGATGCAGGTCTAGTGTCAGGCTACTGAACCCACTTGGGTGGTAGTGGTACAGTAGAATGCTCATCAGGGCTTCCTTAACATCTCCCAGGGCTGGCTGGGGGAGATGGTTAGGGAAAACCAGGCTTGTTACTGTGATGATAGCAGTGACGTAGGCAAGGGCAGGGCTCCTGGGCTGCTGCCTGGGTCAGGGTGCTTGCTCAGAGTCTCTGCTTTTCTGATTCCAGCTGCCAACAACGGCTCTGCAATGGTCCGTGTGATCAGTGTCAGCACTTCAGAGCGGACCCTGCTCAAAGGTTTCACAGGCAGTGTGGCTGATCTGGCCTTCGCACACCTCAACTCTCCACAGCTTGCCTGCCTGGATGAGGCTGGCAATCTTTTTGTGTGGCGCTTGGCTCTGGTTAAGGGTAAAATTCAGTATCCATTCCCAGGCAAGGGACTGAAGAAGTAAAGATGGGCCTCGGGCTAGGGCCTCTAGGGCTACTTACTTCATCATCCACCTATCCAAGCCTTAACTCCCTACTCAGAGAAGAGATTTTAGTTCATATCCGCCAGCCAGAGGGCACGCCACTGAACCACTTTCGAAGGATCATCTGGTGCCCCTTCATCCCCGAGGAGAGTGAGGACTGTTGTGAGGAGAGTAGCCCAACAGTAGCCCTGCTGCATGAAGACCGGGTGAGAGGGCCGGGTGTGGTGAAGGAGGGGCAGAACTGCCATATCGTGCCTGTGCACTGAATACCTCCTGTACCGCTAGGCGGAAGTATGGGACCTGGATATGCTTCGCTCCAGCCACAACGCCTGGCCTGTGGATGTCAGCCAAATCAAGCAGGGCTTCATTGTGGTAAAAGGCCATAGCACGGTAGGCCTACAACTGGTTGCTTCCCTGTTCCCCTCTTCCTGTGCCCTTCATCTACTCCCCATTTTCATAGCTGCCCAAGTGGTTTTACCAATATGTTGCCAGTGTGGATGCAGAACCCAAATTGGCCCTCACTTGTACAGTTCACTTCTACTCTAGATGTGCCCTGAAGGACAGTTTTCTCTGTAGTGCCTGCCCACTTCATTCAGTCCCAGAGAAGTGTGAGTCTGCTGTCGGGCAGTCCAGCTCACTACTAGCCTCATTTAGGAAGGGCTCATTCCTACCTCTGGTCAGGAGGAAAAGCAACACTGTTTGGGTTGTTTCTGTTGTTTGTTTTTGAGACAGTTTTTCTGTGCAGCCCTAGCTGTCCTGGAACTCTCTGGGTTCTTTGCAGTGTCTCAGTGAAGGAGCCCTCTCTCCTGATGGAACTGTCCTGGCTACTGCAAGCCATGATGGCTTTGTCAAGTTCTGGCAGATCTACATTGAAGGTCAGGATGAGCCAAGGTAAGGCAAGACCTTAAAGACCCTACTTTCTACCTCCTGTCTAGAAAGTTGGATGGTTCATTCACTCAGGCTCCTCATCTGTCTGCTTACAGGTGTCTGCATGAATGGAAGCCTCACGATGGGCGGCCCCTTTCTTGCCTCTTATTCTGTGATAACCATAAGAAACAGGATCCTGAGTGAGTGAGTGGGTACGCAAAGTCGGTGGCGGGCTTGTCCATGGGCTTCTTGACAATAACCAGTCAATGCTTTATTGGTTTTCAGGGTCCCATTCTGGAGATTCCTCATTACTGGTGCTGACCAGAATCGGGAGCTGAAGATGTGGTGCACAGTGTCCTGGACCTGCCTGCAAACCATTCGGTATACTAGAGCTAGGGGTTGAGGATAAGCCAGGGGTATGCCTGCTTTGAATTCTCAGTCTTACTTGATCTACTTCTTGGCTTCCTAGTTTCTCCCCAGATATCTTCAGCTCAGTGAGTGTACCTCCCAGCCTCAAAGTTTGCTTGGACCTCTCAGCAGAGTATCTGATTCTTAGTGATGTGCAGCGAAAGGTAGGCTGCTGTGGTGGTACTGGGAGGCGCTGGTGTTGCTAGGGCTGGCAGGGATATGTGAAAGACCACAGCCCTTGCAGCCTCAGTTCAGCTAAGGTTGTATCATTCACACAGGTCCTCTATGTGATGGAGCTGCTACAGAACCAAGATGAGGGCCGTGCTTGCTTTAGTTCCATCTCTGAGTTCCTGCTCACCCATCCTGTGCTGAGCTTCGGGATCCAGGTTGTGAGTCGCTGCCGGCTGCGGCACACTGAGGTGCTGCCTGCTGAGGAGGAGAATGACAGTCTGGGGGCTGGTGAGGTGCCCCAGGGTCAGGGCTGTCTGTTGGTGTTTGGGAAGTGTCCCAGCACAGAGCAGGCCACTTAATGATCCACACTGTCCTTTCAGAGAGTTCCCATGGGGCTGGTGCCGTGGAGTCTGCAGCTGGGGTGCTTATCAAACTCTTCTGTGTACACACTAAGTGAGTGTCGGGGAGGCCGTGTCCTGTCTGTCCCCTACCCTCCTTGCCCTGGATCATTTGTCTATTCTGTTCTCCCCCTCTCTGTTCTTTAGAGCACTACAAGATGTGCAGATCCGCTTCCAGCCACAGCTGAATCCTGATGTGGTAGCCCCACTCCCTACCCATACGGCTCATGAGGACTTCAGTGAGTTAGGGAAGAGAAGGGAAGGAAGCAGGTTACACTGACATGGTTCTCAGATCTGACTCAAGTAGCTTTCCCAACAGCTTTTGGAGAGTCTCGACCTGAACTAGGCTCTGAGGGGCTAGCTTCAGCTGCCCATGGGTCTCAGCCTGACCTCCGACGCATCGTGGAACTGCCTGCACCTGCAGACTTCCTCAGTCTGAGCAGTGAGACCAAGCCTAAGTTGATGACACCCGACGCTTTCATGACGCCCACCGCTTCCCTGCAGCAGGTGCGTCCTCAGTGAAGAGAGACGTGTTAATGTTCCGTTAGCAGCCTTAGTGCTCATTCTCTGAATCTTCCCAGATCTCTGCGTCCCCTAGCAGCAGCAGCAGCAGCAGTAGCAGCAGTAGCAGTAGTAGCAGCAGCAGCTCCCTAACAGCTGTGTCTGCTGTGAGTAGCTCCTCAGCCATGGACCCTTCCTTGCCCAGGTAAGGCAGAGTTGGGTGATAGCAGAGCCTGGTGCCACATGTGATGAATCACAGTAGCTAATGCCTCACCTTTCTGCCAGTAGGCCATCCGAGGAGCTGACCTTGAGTCCCAAGCTGCAGCTGGATGGCAGTCTGACAATAAACAGTACCAGCAGCCTGCAGGCAAGCCCTCGAAGCCTCCTTCCTGGCCTGATCCCAGGCCCAGCTGACAAATTGACCACCAAGGGACCTGGACAGGTGTGTGTGTGAGAGACAGAAAGAGAATCTGTAAAGTGTTAAAGTACTGGGTAGCAGGTGGAGAGCAATGGGGAATATTGGGGTGCTGTATTCCAATGTACTTTTTCTGTTGGCCCTGCTTAGCCTTGAGGGCTTCATATTTCCCCAAAGGAAATACCTTCCTTGGAGGGTATCTCCTCAGCCTCCCATCCCCTCTTGTGAACTGTGGCCCTGCTTTTTACTTGGCTCTCTCTTCCCTGTTATACAGTCTCATCACTACAGCACCAGTACTGTGTCTCTGTGCCCCTTACTCAGTATTTAAGCCTCCATCTTTGGCCCTTGTCAGGTGTCTACTGCTGCCTCTGCACTGTCCTTGGATTTGCAGGAAGTGGAGCCACTGGGGCTACCCCAGGCCTCTCCCAGTCGCACCCGGTCCCCTGATGTGATCTCCTCAGCTTCCACTGCCCTGTCCCAGGACATCCCTGAAATTGCCTCTGAGGCCCTGTCCCGTGGCTTTGGCTCCTCTGTCCCTGAAGGCCTCATTGAGCCAGACAGTATGGCTTCCGCAGCTTCAGCCCTACACTTACTGTCTCCTCGGCCCAGGCAAGGTCCTGAGCTTGGCTCTCAACTTGGCCTAGATGGAGGCTCTGGGGATGGGGATCGGCATAGTACCCCCTCCCTACTGGAAGTAGCCTTGACCCAGGAGGTTGCAACCCCTGACAGTCAAGTCTGGCCTACAGCACCTGACATTACTCGTGAGACTTGTAGTACCTTGGCAGAAAGGTGAGGTGCTTAGAGGGGCAAAGTATGCTTATGGGAGGGGCATTAGGATTATCCTCTACTAAGTTTGTGTCTCCTTAGCCCCAGGAATGGCCTCCAGGAAAAGCACAAAAGCCTGGCCTTCCACCGGCCACCTTATCACCTACTGCAGCAACATGACAGCCAGGACACCAGTGCTGAACAAAGGTGGGCACCACTTGCTCTGTTTTTCCTCTCCTACAGGAGGGCCAGCCTGTGAGCAGGCACTTAGCCCTCATCCCCTTCCACAGTGACCATGATGACGAGGTTGCCAGCCTTGCTTCTGCCTCAGGGGGTTTTGGCAGCAAAATTCCTACTCCACGGCTGCCCGCCAAGGATTGGAAGACCAAAGGATCCCCTCGGACTTCACCCAAGCTCAAGAGGAAAAGCAAGAAGGATGATGGGTAGGAGGTTTCTGGGATTGGGGCCAGGGAGGGTCACCAAGCTGTCTCATGTGACCTTCAATGCTCCTTGCCTATGTAGGGATTCAGCTGTGGGATCCCGGCTCACAGAGCACCAGGTATGTAAGGGAGTACTTTTCTACCCTTGGGATCCCATCCCAAGGATGGGAGGGACTTTAAGTTATTCCTTTTTATGGTGGGTGGAGATAGGAAGGACAGACATTATAAGCTGTCAGTGCTTCTGGCAGGTGGCAGAGCCCCCTGAGGACTGGACAGCATTAATTTGGCAACAACAAAGAGAGCTGACAGAGCTATGGCACAACCAAGAAGAACTGCTACAGCGTCTCTGTGCCCAACTTGAAGGTCTGCAGAACACTGTCACTGACCACGTAGAACGTGCCCTGGAGACCCGGCATGAGCAAGAGCGTATCCTTGGGGGTAGTGACACAGCAGGGCAGTAGGGCACGCAGTGTTCTTGTCTAAGGAAATGTATAGGTCCTGCTGTAGGCCTGTTCCTTAGCTCCACCACAGAGCGGCGGCTGGAGCGGGCTCTGGCTGAGGGGCAGCAACGGGGTGGGCAGCTGCAGGAGCAGCTGACACAGCAACTGTCCCAGGCCTTGTCTTCAGCTGTGGCTGGGCGGCTGGAGCGCAGTATAAGGGATGAAATCAAGAAGACAGTTCCTCCATGTGAGTTTCTCATGAGATTTCTTTTGGGTGAGCCATGTGGGTATAGGAAGCTTTTTAACTTCTTTTGGTTTCATCCATCTTTCTTAGGTGTCTCCAGAAGTCTGGAGCCTGTGGCAGGTCAGCTAAGCAACTCCATGGCTACCAAACTCACAGCAGTAGAAGGCAGCATGAAAGAGAATATCTCTAAGCTACTCAAGTCCAAGGTGATGCAGGGTCCAAGATGGGAAATGAGGCCAAACTGGACTTAAGCTTTCAACTTGACCCCTCCTTATATTCTAGAACTTGACAGATGCCATTGCCCGAGCAGCTGCAGACACATTACAGGGACCAATGCAGGCTGCCTACCGGGAAGCCTTCCAGAGTGTGGTATTGCCAGCTTTTGAGAAGAGTTGCCAGGCCATGTTCCAGCAAATCAATGACAGCTTTAGACTGGGCACACAGGAATGTGAGTGGCGTCACAAAAACCAAAGTAGTAAGAGCGGTTGTGCTCTGCTGTCATCCCTTTGCTGATCCCTGGTGTCGCCCTTCAGATCTGCAGCAGCTAGAGAGTCACATGAAGAGCCGAAAGGCACGTGAACAGGAAGCTAGGGAGCCTGTGCTGGCCCAACTTCGGGGCCTGGTGAGCACACTGCAGAGTGCCACTGAGCAGATGGCGGCCACTGTGTCCAGCAGTGTTCGGGCTGAGGTGCAGCACCAGCTGCATGTGGCTGTGGGCAGGTGTGTGGGCAGGGCTCTGGGTGAGGTGGTAGTTTAGGAAGGGCCAAAAATGGGCTTCCAGTCCACTTCACTGGGTCACTTCCTTTGCAGCTTGCAGGAGTCAATTTTAGCACAAGTACAACGCATTGTTAAGGGTGAAGTAAGTGTGGCCCTTAAGGAACAACAGGCCACCGTCACTTCCAGCATCATGCAGGCCATGCGTTCAGCTGCCGGCACGCCTGTCCCTTCTGCCCACCTTGACTGCCAGGCTCAACAAGCCCATATCTTGCAGTTACTGCAGCAGGGCCACCTCAATCAGGCCTTCCAGCAGGTATGACAATCCTGTTACAATCCCTTCACAAAGATGTCTCCTGAGAAGGTCTACGTAACCTATGCCCACTTCCCCAGTAGGCTCTGGGCTGTCTGGCAGACTGATTCTTTTTGGCTTCCCAAGCCTTTGCTTCTGTTGTTTCCTCATGTTAGACCACTTTCTTCCCACTTCAGCTCCTTTCCTCATGACCACCTTGCTCAGGAAAACTTCATAATCTGATTTTCTAAAGTAACTCTACAGCCTTATCAGTTTCTGAACCTCACTTCTGGAACCTTTAGAATCCAACTTTGGTCTTCTGCCCTTAGGCCATACACCTCAGAGAAGCAAGCATTCCATCTTGTCCTGATGTTAGGTATAAATGAGCATGCTGCCTTGTTCTACTCCCAGGCACTGACAGCCGCTGATCTCAACCTGGTGCTGTATGTGTGTGAAACTGTGGACCCAGCCCAGGTTTTTGGGCAGCCGCCCTGTCCACTGTCCCAGCCTGTACTCCTTTCCCTAATCCAGCAGCTGGCATCTGACCTTGGAACTAGAAGTGACCTCAAGCTCAGGTGAGCAGGGCAGTCGGGGGATCAGAAAATGAGCTAGAGACAGGATAGAGAGAGAATAGTTGAAAGCAGACACCTACTCTTACCTGACTCCCATCCCTAATTTTTTACCCACGTTCTCCACCCCCTCCAAAATGAGGCTTAGAAGCTGTCTTTGCCGGTATCCCTCTGGACTTCAGTGCCACTAGGGGGCACTCCTGTCTGCTGGCATCCAGCTGTAGCCTGTTCTTTCCCCCTATCCCCAGCTATTTGGAAGAGGCTGTGATGCACCTGGACCACAGTGATCCCATCACTCGAGACCACATGGGCTCTGTCATGGCGCAGGTGCGCCAGAAGCTCTTCCAGTTCCTGCAGGCTGATCCACACAACTCACTTGGCAAAGCTGCCCGTCGCCTCAGCCTAATGTTACACGGGCTTGCGACCCCTAGCCTCCCTTAGCTGTTTAAACAGAGACGGGGTAACACTGAAGGCCGGTCGGCAGGTCTAGGCCAAGGCAGGACCATGTCTGCTGTTTACCTGCCCAGACCTCCATCTCTAGTGTTTGGAGGGAGGTAGGGGGCAGGACACACTGGTCTATGCATTGTGGTAACCAGCAGGGTTAGGCTGGGCCCAGGGCAGGTATTGTGCTTTCTTGGGTCCTGCCATGCCTGAAGCATGACCCCAAGATCGTGATACCACTTGAGTTGAATTTTCCATGTTCCTTTTTACCTATAATTTGGATCTTTTTGGTTTTGAAAAACATTGAGAAATTCAATTAAAGCCTTTTGGAATAAAACAAAGTATGTGTATGGTTTTGATTTGCTTTTGATGTTGTCTCCCTTTGGGGGAGCCTTTCTAAACCAGCCCACCCTGGGGGTCCCCTGGCACCCATTATCATCTGATAAACCGTCTACTCCTATCTCCCCTGTCCAATTCAGACAAAGCTCCTAGAGCCGGCTTAGCATCAACACATCTCCTCTCTAGGCAATTTTGCCCTCTGGGGTCCTTCCTTCCTTCTCTGCCAATCTGGGTCCTGGAGGTGGGGCTGACAGCTGGGATGAGGCCCCGCCTCCAGCTCCTATCCAATCAGGATCCCTTCCTCTGGGGGCTGGGCCCACAGGCTGCTCTCCAAGCCTCTAGCTCCTGCACTAGGCTCACAGCCAGGGATGATGTGCTGCTGCTGCCACTGCCCCTGGCGCTGCCGCTGGCAGCCGCTACCCTGTGCCCTGACGCTGTTGCTGCTGCTGCCGCCACTCGGTGAGTGTGAGCGTCCTGGGCCCAGGCTGCAGCCCTTCTCAGAGTTCTTAGACTGGGTGTAGGGTGAAGGAGCACAGGGCTTAGGGTAGAGTTCAACAGTAAGAGCTCTAGGAAAGTGTGGTAGTGGCTTCAGCATGGAGAGTGTGCAAACAGCTCAGTTGTGGGAGAAGACCTTCTAAATCCTGTAGCCCCTCTTCTGACACGGAGTTTGTGACCCCTAGCAGAACTGAGGCCATGGACCCCTGAGCTTAGGGTGACTGGCTTTGGTTCCCCACCCTGCCGCTTAGCTTCAGCAGAGACTCTTGTCTTTGAGGAGGAGGCAATGGGTGTTCCAGCTGAAGCTCATTAAAACTACAGAAAGATTGCCTTTTGCCCATGATTTCATGCTTCCTATACCCCTGAATCCCTAAATTGACCTAGAGTCCCAGAAACTAGAGAAGGAACTGAGCTCTGGACCCAATACCCCTTCCTGTTCCCACATCACATCTTCCATGTACATCACAGTCCAGATCCTAACTTTAAGACAAGTGATCTCCAGATAGCCTGAAGTTCCCTGGGGCACCTCTTTCACGCTGAGTCATGTCCCCAGAGCACTGCCAGGTAAACAAGGTCCTGATGAATGGACCCTGGCTCGTTCTATCAACTGTTCTCTATTCCCACCCCATTCCTAGTCTTTGTACCCTCTCTAGCTGTGGCCTCTGAGGGCCCAAACCGCTGTGATACCATATACCAAGGCTTTGCTGAGTGTCTCATCCGCCTGGGGGATGGCATGGGCCGCGGAGGCGAGCTACAGACTGTCTGCAGGTACCAGCAGGTGGGAGGCAATGGGCCAGTGGGAGATACCACCCGATAATCTGTGCCACTGGGGCAACAACCTCAGGGCCTTGAATCTCTTCCCACTCTAAAATCTCTGCCCAACTCTCCTAACCCCATTCTGTAACAGATCCTGGAATGAGTTCCATGCTTGTGCGTCTCGGGTCCTGTCCGGCTGCCCAGAGGAAGCCGCTGCAGTGTGGGAGTCACTGCAGCGAGAAGCTCGCCGTGCCCCCCACCCAGATAACTTGCACATCCTCTGTGGCGCTCCTGTGAGTGTTCGGGAGATGGTTGCTGGCCCAGAGACCAACCAGGAGACACTACGGGCCACAGCTCCTGCGCTCGCTCCAGCCCCAGCCCCTGCATTGCTTGCTGCTGCTCTGGCACTTGCCTGCCTCCTGGGGCCTCTGGCCTAAACAGTCTGGTTGGCTAGCCAACAGTGCCCTTGCCTCCCATCACTGCATGCAGTGGCCGCCATGTGGGCTCTGCAGAGTGTGCATAATTTTCATTAAAGGTATTTATATTTGCACCAAGCTGTTTTCTTTCTCCTGGCTGTGACCCTCTTGGCAAAGGCAGGGGCCCCCAGAAGCTGATCCCAGCATGGAATGGGCGGGCTCAGGACCTCCACAAGGGACTCATCCACCCTTACAAACATTCGTTTCATGATGGCTGTGTTGAGGTTTCTTTCCATTACACCTTAGATCCCAGGAGTACCTCGGATCCCAAGAGCTCTTGTAGAGACCCAAGATCTGCCGGAATGCACAGCCTTTCTCTGCCTTCCCAACCCAACAGGGATGTGGGGAACCAATGGGGTCCAGAACTCACTCCTAGTCGCCAGGTGAAGTCTCTCTCAGGCTCCTGCCGTCTCCTGGTGCCTTACCTGCACCTCCCTCTGCTAAACTATCACCTCAGCCTTCAAGACGTGCAGACTCGGTGCCCAGTCTTCTCTTTCGAGGTCTGGACCAGACTGTCCAAAGAGAAGTCCACATTCAAACCCCTGACAGGATCTGAACTTACACAAGTTGAAGCCATAATGAGGAGGTGATCTGGCTTCTGCTCTCCAGAAGCTTGCTCTTTGGGGTTTGCAGTGAGAAAACAAAATGATTCAAGAAGGTGTTTCGGAAGCCATGTTTCGGAGAGTAGATGGTGTGGGCAGAGCCCTTGTTCATCCCAGTGGGGGCAGAAGAACAGAGAAATTTAACTCTATGCTAATGCTATGTTAATTTGTTTATTATTATTATTTTAAATAGCACCTTCTTTAGTAGCTCTTGACTAGCCTGGAACTCACTATGTAGACCAGGCTGGCCTCAAACTTGGAGTGATCCTCCTGCCTCTTCTTAGGTGCTAGGATTATAGGCATATGGTACCATTCCTTGAATAAACACTATGACTTTTGTGGACTTCTCCATGGCTTCCTCATGGACTACTATTATTCAGTCCCTCTACTTTCTAGGTTGAGAAACTGATGCTTGTGTTACACTCCTGCCCTCTTGCCTATAAGGTCCTGCATAAGGCAGCTCTGTGTTCCTGCAGGACCAGTTCTACCTACCCAGTCCTTGAGGACAGGAGGGAGCACACAGGGCATGGTAGCTCACGAGGACAGCAGCCTTGCAACTGGTTTGGAAGGGCTGGGGAGCTTGCTAGGCAAAGCGTTTGCCACTCAAGCATGAAGACCTCAGTTTGACCCCTAGGATCTATGTAAAAAGTCAGTGTAGTGCCATGCACTTGGGAAGGCAGAAAGAAGTGGATTAAGCCTAGCCTAATCTGTGAGCCAGGCCACTAAGAGATTCTATCTCAAAAAACAAGGTAGATGGGACCTGAGGAATGACACCCAGGGTTGACTCTGGTGAACACACACAGTGCAAGCAATGAGAAGGCTCACCACTCAGTGTAAAACCATAAGGTAGGAGAGGTCTGACTCTGGCAAGTTATCCTCTGACCTCCATGTGTGCACTGTTATATGTGTGCACATGTACTCATACGATCAGAAATAACAAGGTGACAGGTGGTCGTGCACACCTTTAATCCTAGCACTTAGGAGACATAAGCAGGTGGATCTCTGTGGGTTCAAGGCCTTCCTGGTCTACGGGCAAGTTTCAGGACAACCAGGGCTACACAGAGAAACCCTGTCTTAAAATACAAAAAATAAAGTAATAACTATCAAAAATTGTCATAAAAAAAGAAGTGGTAAAAGAAAGGTGAGCAGATATGGAGAGGGATTTGCAAAAGAGGCCGTTAGCATCACAGGGACTAAGCTTGGAAGGCTAGGCTTATGATACCCATGTTGGGAGGCTGTTGACACATACATGCACATATGCACATACACATGCACATGCACACAGATGCACACACACGGTGAAAGAGAGGAACAGTCAGGTGCACCATGTACATGCCTGGTGCCCCCAGAGTTCAGAGGAGGGTGCCACATCTCATGGAATTGGAGTTACAGAAGTTTGTGAGCTACCCCACGTGAGTGCTGAGAACACAACTTTGAAACTCTGAGCCATCTCTCCAGCCTCGCTCATTGGCATAGACTTTTATCTCCACTTCTAGACACCAGTTATTGCTCGCCTCACATTTCTGAAGGAGAATCCTGAGCCAGGCAGTGGTGGCACAGGCCTTTAATCTCAGAACTCACTCAGAACTCAGGGGCAGGTGGATCTCTAAGGTCAAGGCCAGCCAGTTACACAGAGAGAAACCACGTCTCAACAACAAAAACCCAGCAAAAACAAAACAAATAAAAACACTTAAAAAAAAACAAACAAACCACAAAACCTAGAATCCTGAATGCTGAATCAAAACCTAGAATCCTGAATCTGCTACCACCAGATCCTTTGGCCACCAGAAATTTCTTGAAAGAAAAATGGAATTTTTATTCTTTTGGGTGTATCTTTTTTAGGGAAAGTCTCACTATGCAGTCCTGGTTGTCCTGAAATTCACTACATTGACCAAGATGACCTCAAATACTTAAAGATCTTGCCCACTTCTGCTACCTGAGTGTTGTAACTAAATTTGTGTAGCACCTTGCCAGAGCTGTATATGTGTTTTACAAACTACATTGTGTGTGTGTGTGTGTGTGTGTGTGTGTGTGTGTGTGTGTGTGTGTGTGTGAGCATGGGGGGCATGAGTGCTGCGGGTGTGCCACAGTACACATGTGGTGGTCAGAAGAACAACTAGGAGGAGTCAGTTCTCTCCTTCCACTATACCGATTTTGGGGATTGAACTCAGGTCACCATGTTTGGCTACTTATTGTGCTGGCCCTGTACATCTATATTTTTAGTAAAATATTCTTTCCTATTTCTTAGTGGTCAACAAGAAACAGCTATATCTTGCTTAGTATTACCTCTTCTAGAAAATACTATGTAACTCTGTATATAAGTTGAATTAAAACCACCTCTAGGGGCTGGAAAGATGGCTCAGTGGTTAAGAGCATTGCCTGCTCTTCCAAAGGTCCTGAGTTCAATTCCCAGCAACCACATGGTGGCTCACAACCATCTGTAATGAGGTCTGTTGCCCTCTTCTGGCCTGCACACACACACACAGACAGAATATTGTATACATAATAAATAAATAAATATTTAAAAATTAAAAAAAAAAACCCTCTAGATAGACACAGTTCCCTGTCTCAGTGTAACACTGGTTTATAATTCCCAAGTCCCAATGAAAATTCCCAGCTGTGGACTCCTCAAGGGTGAGGGGTACCTTCTGTGTCTCTAGCACCCAATCTAAGGATAAAGAGTGCACTATGGGGATCTGGAGAGATGGCTCAGTAGTTAAGAGCACTGACTGCTCTTCCAGAGGACTCAGGTTCAATTCCCAGCACCTACATGGCAGCTTACAACTGTCTGTAACTCCAGCTCCAGGGATCCAATGCCCTCACACAGAGATACATGCAGGCAAACCACCGATGTACATAAAATAAAAATAGATTGGCTGGGTGGTAGTGGCATGCACCTTTAATCCCAGCACTGGGGAGGCAGAGGCCTGTGAATCCCAGTGAGTTCAAGGTCAGCCTGATCTACAAGAGCTAGTTACAAGACAGCTAGGACTGTTACACAAGGAAACCCTGTCTCGAAAAACCAAAAAAAAAAAAAAAAAAATCAATTATATAAAAAAGAAAGTGCAGTATGGAGTATTTGGAATGAAAGAATCTATAAATAACTTTAACATAGGCATCGTTATAGTCAACAAGACCTTGGACAGAGAATTAATCCAGTGTAGAGGCTATGTCATTTTGGGACATCTGCCTTGGTCCGGGAATACAGTTAGGGTCTGGGGGATAGGTTGGGGCTTCAGATCCTGGAAGTTTTCTAGACCTCTCCGAGCAGGGCTGGCTGCTCTGGTCAGCCATTGTTGGGGATTACCACCCTCCTACAGTGACCTATTTTTACCCTGATGTTTTACTCCCTAAGTCCCTACTCTTCCCTGGGCTGGGTTGGGAGGATGAGTGGGGGAAGAATTTGCTCTCTGGTCAGGGGCTTAAAGGCTTTATGGGTTTTATCTCAGAGCTAGAGCAAAGGGGTGGGATGATAGCCAAGATGCTGGGGCCTGGGCACAGCTGCCTAGGCCCGAGCATAGCAATGATAGTGTTCTGCAGCTGTAGGTCTATAGACAAAGTACAATCTGTTGTTCAGATGGTCTGGCTTCAGGTGCCACCACACCTGCACACTTTGATACCAGACCTGTGCTTTTCCCTAGGGCCCAAACCATGGTGCACCTGAATATCTGATAAATATTGGTTATTTGCCAAATATCTGTCAAATGAAAGTGTTGTATAAATAAAGTGTCATTAACCCTGGAGTTCTATTTAATATTTTCTGTGAGGTTGGGATTATGATTATAATAGCTTTTTTTTTTTTCCCAGACGGGGTTTTTCTGTGTAATCCTGGCCGTCCTGGAGCTCTCTCTATAGACCAGACTGGCTTCGAACTCAGATATCTGCCTAACTTTGCCTCTTGAGTGCTGGGATTAAAGGTGTGTACCACCACTGAATGGCTAACTAGGTTTATAATTATTATAAAGCTAGGAAAACAATATGTAAAGTGGTTTGAGGGAGATATCTCCCCTAAGAATTCACACGGCTGTGGGAAGGTCATATCTGAGATTTGATCCCAGGTTTGGTCCCGAAGTCAATGTTCTTTTTTAGGCAAGGTCTCACTGTGCAGCAGCCTTGGCTGTCCTGTTTGTATATAAACCATGCTATCCTTGAAGCCCACCTGTTTCTATACAGACCACGCTGGTTTTGGAACCTCTGAAGATCCACCTGCCTCTGCTTCCCAAAATGCTGGGACTAAAGGTGGTGCACCATGGATGAAGTCCTTGCTTTTAGTAATTCCACTACTCTTTGAGAAACAATTTTCATGGTGGCTGTTTTGAAATAAGGTCTCAGTTTATATTCCAAGCTGACCTAGAACTCTATATATAGCCTAGGTATTCTTTTTCTTTTTTTTTTTTGGTTTTTCAATTCAGGGTTTCTCTGTAGCTTTGGTGCCTGTCCCGGAACTAGCTCTGTAGACCAGGCTGGTCTCGAACTCACAGAGATCCGCCTGCCTCTGCCTCCCGAGTGCTGGGATTAAAGGCACGCGCCACCACCGCCCGGCGGTACTCTTTTTTGAATACTTTAAGTTTATTTTATATGCATTGGTGTGAGGGTGTCAGATCCCCTGGCACTAGAGTTACAGACAGCTGTGAGCTGCCATGTGGGCCCTCTAAAAGAACAGCCAGTGCTCTTAAGTGCTGAGCTGTCCCTCCAGCCCCATCCCAGGTATTCTTGATCTCTCACTGCAGTGCTCCTTTAGATCCTGATCTCCAGGATTACAGGTGTCTGTCAACACACTGTTCATTTTTCTTTTGAGAAAGGACATCTGTACGTAGCCCAGGCTAGCCTCAAACTCAAGACTTTCTTGCTGCTGCTTCCAGATTACTAGGATTACAGGCTACAAGTACCAACACACTAGGCTTTGAAACAACTTTCAGTTTTTTGTTTTTCAAGACAGGGTTTTCCTGCACAGCTCTGGTCCTGGAACTCACTATGTAGACCAGGCTGACCTTAAACTCAGAGATCCACCTGCCTCTGCCTCCCGGATTGCTGGGATTAAAAGGCGTGAGCCACCATGCCCAGACTGCTAAGTATCTTTTTTAAATTTCTCTTTAAAAGTCGAGTGGTGATGGTGCACGATGGCGCACGCCTTTCGTCCCAGCACTCGGAGGCAGAGGCAGGCAGATCTCTGTGAGTTCCAGGTCAGCCTGGTCTACGGAGCGAGTTCCAGGACAGTCAGGGCTACACAGAGAAACCTTGCTTTATGGAAGAAGAAGAAGAAGAAAAAAAGAAAAAGAGAAGAGAAAACCCATGACTATCTAGAAGTTGGTCCAAAACTTACTTCACTACAATTCAGAATTTATTTGCCGTCTTAAACACATCTGATTATTCACAATTGTTTCAAATAGATTTTAAATCGGGCGGTGGTGGTTCATATGCCTGGTCTACAAAGAGCGTGCCAGCCAGTACAGATTCCAAAGCTACACAGAGAAACCCTGTCTTGAAAAACCAAACCAAACCAACCAAACAAAATTAGATTTTAAGACTAGAGTGTAAACCGGGCGATGATGGCACACGCCTTTAATCCCAGCACTCGGGAGGCAGAGGCAGGCGGATCTCTGTGAGTTCGAGACCAGCCTGGTCTACAGAGCTAGTTCCAGGACAGGCTCCAAAGCCACAGAGAAACCCTGTCTCGAAACCCCCCCTCCCCCCCCAAAAAAAAAAAGAAGAAGAAGGAGAAGGAGGAGGAGGAGGAGGAGGAGGAGGAGGAGGAGGAGGAGGAGGAGGAGGAGGAGGAGGAGGAGAAGGAGAAGGAGAAGGAGAAGGAGAAGGAGAAGGAGAAGGAGAAGGAGAAGGAGAAGGAGAAGGAGAAGGAGAAGGAGAAGGAGAAGGAGAAGGAGAAGGAGAAGGAGAAGGAGAAGGAGAAGGAGAAGGAGAAGGAGAAGGAGAAGGAGAAGGAGAAGGAGAAGGAGAAGGAGAAGGAGAAGGAGAAGGAGAAGGAGAAGGAGAAGGAGAAGGAGAAGGAGAAGGAGAAGGAGAAGGAGAAGGAGAAGGAGAAGGAGAAGGAGAAGGAGAAGGAGAAGGAGAAGGAGAAGGAGAAGGAGAAGGAGAAGGAGAAGGAGAAGGAGAAGGAGAAGGAGAAGGAGAAGAAGAAGAAGAAGAAGAAGAAGAAGAAGAAGAAGAAGAAGAAGAAGAAGAAGAAGAAGAAGAAGAAGAAGAAGAAGAAGAAAGACTAGCGTGTAATCCCTCATTCCGGGAAGCCGAGGTAGGAGGATTTCCGAGAGTTCGAGCCCAGCCTGGAGTATGTAGTATATATTCCTGGTCAGACAGAGTGACAGAGTCAGATCGAGTTTCAAATGAAACAGAACAAGCCCATTTAATTAATGAGATCTAAGTCAGTCATCTGCGGAGATCCAGGGGCAGTTCGAGAAGCCTCTGCGCTCACTGTGCACTCTCCTCGCCTTTCACGAGCCCTTTCAGCTCTATAACCTTGACATTTTCTCCCCGACCCTCTCTTTCTTCACGCGTCCCTCCCACAACCCGCTCCCCGGCGGCTTCGAGCCTCAGACAGACCCAACCTCCCGGAGAGCCCTTCTCCGCCCGGAAGTCGTTGATTGGCAGGTCCTCAGAGGACGCCCACCGCGTCCGCCGAGCGGAGGGTCCGCCTCGGTTCCTCCCTGTAGGCCGCCCAAGTTTGTTTTGGCGTCAGGCGCGCAGTAATGACGCCACGACGCTGACGCGAGAGAATGGCGGCGGCGTCCGTGGCCTGGGCCGGGGGACGGTGGGCTGAGCCGCCGAGACTCCGAAGAGCCCGCCGGCCGCGCGAGGTGAGGCCTTCCGGCTCGGGGCTTCGGCCTGACCGGCGTGAGGGGCTGGCGAGCTCGGCCGTGGGCTTGGCGCTGCCGGGCCGCCGCAGTGCAACTCCGAGCCCTCGGCCCCTGTGCACTGGGGCCTTCGGGCTGGGGAGCGGACCGGGCCGTGGCTACCCACGGTCGCCTGGCGTGGCCTCAAAACCTGCTGCGGCCTTGGGCCCGATGGACGTGGTCAGCTGCCCTAGCTGTGGCTCAGCCGTCCCGCACCCAGCGCGGGTCAGATTGATCTAACCTTGTGTGCGGCGCCTGCTCTACATCCTGCCTTTGCCAGTAAACGCCAGGGTCCTGCGGGGGCCACCGATCTCCTTCCATGTACTGGCTGGAAAACAGGCCAGAGTCCAGCTGGGTCGCTTGCACTGCAAACCTGTCATACTTCCAAGGAGCGCCCCATCCCCGCCCTGTCTTCCGTGAAGTTGCTGCAGTGATAATTCCCACCTGAAAAATCACTAGTTGTAGCCGCCTCCCTAGTCACTGTAGGGAAAAAACTGACCCTTCTAGGCTGCGGCTTTCAGAGCTTGTCATCATTTGCTGAGGCCTAGCCCGACAGTCAGCTTTCGGGCGCTGCGCTGCTTTTCTGGAGTGCATTGCTGAGGCATGTGAGCCTCTTGTTAGCTCCGTGGTTCCATACCCTTGAGGTTCAGATAAGCTGCTTTCTCGGTTTGGGAAATTCTTCCTTTCGTTCCACCCTCACCCACTAGTATAGGAAATTAAGAATCTACCAGCGACGTCTCTTCCTTTTCCCTTGCTTGCACAAAGCGGTAGTGTTTGATTAAGGTTGTTGCGGCATTGGCCGTACGGTGGAGCATCTGTCATAGCCAGCAGCTGAGACAGTCACAGCAAACACCTATCTTTGTGTGATAGGTGCTGCTTCTTCCTCTTCAACCTTAATGACCTAAAAATCTTTGGAGTAATTTTCCAAGATTCAATTTCAAGAGTTGTCGGGCGGCGTCTTTAATCCCAGCACTCGGGAGGCAGAGGCAGGCAGATCTCTGTGAGTTTGAGGTCAGCCTGGTCTACAAGAGCTAGTTCCAGGACAGACACCAAAGCTACAGAGAAACCCTCAAAAAACAAAACAAAAAAAAATTTCAAGAGTTTCATTCTTAGTAGAAATGGTGGGATACAGCGGGGCGGTGGTGGCACACACCTTTAATCCCAGCACTAGGGAGGTAGAGGCAGTCGGATCCTGTTGAGTTCGAGGCCAGTCTGATCTACAGAGTGAATTCTTGGACAGCTAGGGCTGTTTCACAGAGAAACTCGGTCTCAAAAGAATTTTTTTTTAAATTAAAAATGTAGGATACACTTCTAATCCCATTTATGAGATGAAGGCAGGGTGACAGTAAAGGCCAGCATAGGCTACGCAATATGTTTAGAACCACCAGCCTCTGTCTCGCAAACACAATACCCCAAAGTCCAGATAGGGTGGGCATACCTATGGTCACTTGCACGCTGCAGGCAGAAGCAGGGGGATGCCCGAAAGTTGAAAGAATCTGATACGACTTCCAGAGGTTCTCGTGGGGGAAAATTTTTTCACTCTTTTTTTTTTTGTTGATGATGGTGATGGAGACTGTACCCAGGGCTCTTAGCACTTAGACGATATGTAAGCTTCGTGGTCAGTTTACCGTTTGAGTTCGGAAGTTGTGTGGTAGCTCCAATGCCGTAACCCCAGCATCTGGGGAACTGAAGGAGGATGACCATGGGTACGAGGCTACCCCAGACTGTATATTGAGTACCAGTCAGCCAGGGCTACAGAGTGAGACCCTGTCTCACAAAACAAAACAAAAATAGGAGACAGGATATGAGATAGAGACTTGTATTTTTTTTAATGTATTATGTATTCAGTATTCTGCCTGCATGTATGCCTGCAGGCCAGAAAGGGGCACCAGGTCTCATTACGGATGATTGTAAACCACCATGTAGGTGCTAGGAATTGAACTCAGGACCTCTGAAAGAGCAGCCAGTGCTCTTAACTGCTGAGCCATCTCTCCAGTCCTAAGACCTGTGTTTTTAAAGTTGTTTTTAAGTCTTCTTCCCCCTGTATAGGAATTGTTCCCAGGATGTTTTGCATTCTACCAAATGAGCTGTGTCCCCATTTCAGAAATCTATATTTTAAAAAACAGCAAAAGCAGGTCATGGTGGTGCACATCAGTAATCCCAGCATTCTGGATACTGAGGCAGGAGGATCACTGTGAGTTTAAGGTCAGTCTTGCTTAATAGTGAGTTCCCTAGTCCATCATGGGCTATAGAGTGAGACACTGTCTTGGTTGTGGTGGCACACGCTGGTAGGATTTCCTGAAGGAGGCAGAGGCAGGAGGACTATTGAGTTCGATGCCAGCCTGGGCTACACATTAAAAAAGAAAAGAAAATGAAAAAGCCAAAGCTAAAGACACTACTGTACTTCCTTGGATGAAGATTTCAAAATTTTGAAAAACCTAAATTAGATTATTGGCCTTTTTTGTTGTTTGTTTTCTTCAAGGCAGGGTTTCTCTGTGTAGCACTGGCTATCCTGGGCTGGCCTCGAGCTCACAAAGATCCACCTGCCTCTGCCTCCAGAGTGCTGGGATTGAGGCATATGCCACCACTGCCCAGCTCTGTTACTGGCTTTTTAGCATCCTGAGAGTCTCTGAGTTCTATTTCCCCATATCCAAGGTAGGAGAGTCGTGTTACTTCATTAAATCTCCATAGAGTGCAGATGGATGATATAGTGTGTATAAAATGCTGAGTACACTTGAAATTTTCTACATGGAACCAATTTACTAATGTCCATAGTGTTTTTCTTTTTTCTTTTTTTTAATATTTATTTATTTATTATGTATACAATGTTCTGTCTATGTGTATGCCTGCAGGCCAGAAGAGGGCACCAGACCCCACCGCAGATGGTTGTGAGCCACCATGTGGTTGCTGGGAATTGAACTCAGGACCTTTGGAAGAGCAGGCAATGCTCTTAACCTCTGAGCCAACTCTCCAGCCCCTCTATAGTGTTTTTCATCTTTTTTTTCCTTCCAGTGTTGGGTATCAACCCAGGCCCTATGCATACTAATCAAACATATGCCAATTATATACTCTACTCTACTGAGCTACAACCCCTAGCTCCGGAAATTTTCATCTTTCTGTGTTTCTTTTCCTTTTTTCGTGTGTGTCTGTGTGTAAGTGATCGTTGGTTCTGGGTTGTAATGCAGGTTGTCAGTCTTGGAAGCAGGTGCCTTCACCCACTGAACTCTCTTGCCAGCCCCATTGTAGTTGATGTCTTTGTTTTGTTTTTCCCTAATACTAAGTGAGTGTTGGACCTAGTCAAGAACTCTAGCAGTGAGGTATAACCCCAGCCCTCTTTTTCACTTTTGATTTTGAGATAGGGTTTTACCAAGTTGCCGAGGCTGGTCTTGAACTTACTCTGTAGCTAAGACAGGTCTTGGGATTTTCCTGCCTCAGCTTCCTGAGTAACTTGGATTATGGGCCTTTCCCACCAGACCCAGAAAATGTCATCTTTTAAAGTTGTTCTTCGCATTAAGCTGCCTGTAGGAGGAAGCCTTGTGCTTTGTGGTTTCTTCAAGGTCACTTCTAGGCAACTGAGAGCTCCTTAACACTTCTCACCAGATAGATGCAGTTGGCCACTCCCCTAGAAGGTCTTTGGAATCTAACTCGCTAGGGGATGTTTACTGCTGAGTAAGTGAGTTCTCTAGGTCTAATTGTAATCCTGTGCTTAAATTGTATGAATGAGCCAGGAAAAGTGCAGCCTTCAGGGAACGTGTTCGCCTCTGACAGTGAGCTGTACTTTCGCATCTCTGGTTTTCTTGGCACTTGCCACAGAATACCCTCGAGCTCCGAGTAACTGTGGAATTTGAAATAGATGCGGAGGTACTGTGTCAGAGTCACAGGTCATGGGTAGATGGGTGAGAATTTGGTTTCGCCTATTATGTGGCTTTGTAAGCATGAGCACGTTATGTGCGCAGCTCTGACCTTCCTCAGCACTTAAGCAGCTGTGTGATGATGCGATCATGCTGTTTGCAGCTGAAGCCATTAACCTTACACTTGAGTGTAGCTGAGAGCAGCTGTCTGCATTGGTCCATAGCATTGCACAGGAGGGTCCTTCTCTGTGTGTATCTGAGAAGTAAAACTCTAGAAAGAAGGAAGCAATCCCGGTTATTGAGAGCTGGAAAGAGGCTTATCCAAACACCCTTCCCTTCCAGAAATCTTAGTATTGGCTAGGTCACCACGGAACTAATTTTTTTTTTTTTTAAAGATTTATTTATTTATTATGTATACAGCATTCTGCCTCGATATATGCCCGCACGCCAGAAGAGGGCGCCAGATCTCATTACAGATGGTTGTGAGCCACCATGTGGTTGCTGGGAATTGAACTCAGGACCTTTGGAGGAGCAGGCAATGCTCTTAACCGCTGAGCCATCTCTCCAGCCCCGGAACTAATTTTTGATACAGTCTTGCATTGTCAGGGTATTAGATGTTAAGGTAATGAAAATGTGATGTTTTCATTTGCTGTAAGGAAATTATCTGAGAGACTTTTTCAGGCTATAGGTTTGAAGTAGCCTTTCAAGGAATCATAGGAATGATGGTCAGCTGTGTTTAGTGACACACATCTTTAATCCCAGCACCTGAGAGACAGAGGCAGGCAGGTCTCTGTGGGTTCAAGGCCAGCCTGGTCTACATTTAGTGAGTTCCATAACAACCAGAGCTATATACATGGTGAGAACCTGTCTCAGGAAAAAGAAAAAAAAAAAAAAAAAAGCACTGTCCAGGGTATAAATTCCTTGAGAGCAAAGACTATACCTTACTTTTTTATCACTGCCCTAAAGAGTTTCTAGTTCGAAGCAGGATATCAGTGAATATTTGTGGGTTGGAAGGGAGAACTTGGTAAATTACTAGATCTGTATTTCTGATGGTGGAAGGTCTTAGATTTGGGGATCATCACAAAGTGGGGAAACAAAGGAAACCTTGGAAGTCTCGTTCTCAGCAAGATGAGGTCATTGTCTACCAGCTGTTACCATGAGGACAGTGTTTAGCTGTAGTCCTTGAAAAGTGGGGTCCCAGGATACTATAGCTCAAGAAGCCATTACTGGGCATGGTGGTGTATGATTGTGGTGCCAACTCCTTAGGGGACTGAGGCAGAGGTATTGCTTGAGCTTAGGAGTTTAAGACCAGCAAGGGCAATATAAACCCCCATCTCAAAAATAAATAAGAAACGGAGTAGGAGCTGGAGAGATGGCTCAGTGGTTAAGAGCACTGACTGCTCTTCCAGAGGTCCTGAGTTCAATTCCCAGCAACCACTTGGTGGCTGACAACCATCTGTAATGAGATCTGGTGCCCCCTTCTGGCATGTGGGGCACACATGGAAGGAATGCTATACACATAATAAATAAAATAAATATTAAAAAAAAAAGAAACGGAGTAAATAATAAAAACTGTAGCAATTGTGGCAGCACAATGTCCCAGTATTCAGGAGGCAGAGTCAGGTAGATCCTTGAGTTTGAGGCCAGCCTGGTCTACAGAGTGAGTTCCAGGACAGCTGGGGCTGCATAAAGAAACCCTATGTCTAAAACACAAAGAAAAATACAGTAACAGTCATTAATGATATTAAAAGTTAAAAACCAGGCATGGTTGTACACATCTGTAATCTCAGCACTTGCGAGACAGAGGCAGGAGGATTTCATGTTCAAAACCAACCTAAGCTAAGTAGGGAGACCCTATTTTAGAACAACAGAAAATGCCCCATAAAAGTTAAAACATAAGAGAAAGTGACACATAAGTGCTTTTTAGGAACAAAGACGTGTGCTGCCACCACCGCCTGGCCTCTAGCTAGCTCGTTTTTTTTTTTTTTTGTTTTGTTTTGTTTTTCGAGACAGGGTTTCTCTGTGGTTTTTTTTTTTGTCTAGCTAGCTCTTATAACTTAATTTAACCTGTTTCTCTTCACCTACGTTTGCCTTGGGCCTTTCTTACCTTTATTTCTTTCTATATGTCCTATTTTCATGCGTCTTCCCTATCTGTCTGGCCCTGGGAACGTTCTCTCTGCAGCCTAGATTCCTCCTTCTACTTATTCTGTCTGCCTACCAGTCCCACCTATCCCTCCTCTGCCTAGCTAATGGCTGTCCACACATCTTTACCTCTTAAACAAATGCAGCATAAACAAAAGTAAGGCATCTTTACATAGTTAAAGTAATATTCCACAGCACATATCTGCACTCTTATGAAAGTGGTTTTGTAGCATTGTTTCTAGAAGTGGAATTGCTGCAACAGTCTCCCTGTTATAGAAACGTAGTGAGTTCAAAGTCAATTAAGGCTACACAGCAAGTCTGTCTAAAAGAGAAGACAAACAGAAGAAAGCTGTGAGCCCCATGACAGAAAAGGGCTCAGCAGAGGTATGGATTGAGCAAACTGTTCAGTCTTTGACCTGGTGAGGTCAAATTCTGTTGGGCCCATATATTTCCGAAGTCTTGACTGTGTGAAGAAGAGATCCTTGGATGGAGAACCAGGAGACCAGAGTCCATGCTTGAGCACAATTTGAGTGGCTTTGGACAAGTCTCACTACCGCTCTTGGCTGTCTTTTCTGTAGTGTCAGGGACGTGCTCACTCCCTCTGGCACCATCCAGCATGCTTGGCCTTTCCCGGAGGAGTGGCTGGTATCAGCCTGGGAGCTGAAGGTGCAGCACAGACCGTGGAGAACGGATTAATTTCTGTGTTAGCTTTGTGACCTGGTATAACATTTCCTGAGGCTTCTTTCTCGCTCATCCTGTGTACCCCAGTACCCATGCTGGCTACTAAGTTGGGCACATACACAAGAAAGCTCAAGCAGGTTCTCAGCAGGTTCTTGCCAGTCAGCACCATTTTCCCTGTGTCACTTTGGGAGAAGTTAGTAGATGTGGTGGAGCGGAGCATCCAGAGGCAGAGACAGGTGAATTTCTGAGTTTGAAACCTTCCAGGTTAGTCAGGGCTCCATAGTGAAGCCCTGTCTCAAAAAACAAAACACAGATGTGACTGGAGTTTGGACTGCTCGGATCACCTGGAGGATGTTACTTATGTCCCTAGCTTGCTGGCTTTCTTTCTAGCTGCACCTTTCCCCATTTCAGTCCTTATTTGGAAGGTAGAGTACTGATAGCAGCCCACCTTTGAGTGTTTCTAATAGGAGAAACATGGTGCTTCACTGCTGACTTAAGGTCTTTGTGCAGGCTTTGTTTAAAGTGAAAAGTCAGGGTTTTTCCTTTTCTTTTTTCTTTTTTCAAGGTTTTTCGAGACGGGGTTTCTCTGTGTAGCTTTGGAGCCTGTCCTGGAACTTGCTTTGTAGACCAGGCTGGCCTTGACAAACTCACAGAGATCCGCCTGCCTCTGCCTTCTGAGTGCTGGGATTAAAGGCGTGCACCACCACCGCCCAGCCCTGGCACCTGCACTTGTGTGCACATCTCTCCCCCATAATTACAAACAAAAATCTAAAAAAGACATATATTGGGACATGCCTTTATCCTTTATTCCTGCCTGTATCCTATAGGTGTTTGATACCTAGTGACACTGTGCCAAGATTTCTGGTCTCCAATTCACTGGGTTAGATTTTAGCCATGTGGAAACTGGGCAAATATGAGACTGTGGAGCAGGATAGCTGCCGAAGAGAAGGCTGTAGAGACCATGCAGGAAAGTGAAGTAAGGACAGACTCAAGGTAGCTTTGCTGTTGTAGGGGTCCACCTCTGTAAGAAGATAACGGTTAGGAAGCTCCCCATGGAGACCTGGAGATACATCTTTCTGAGTTTTTATGGATGCTGCTGCTGGAGGAGGTCTCCAACACTCTACATCCCTGTTTCAGAAGAGATGAGTCAGAAAGATGAGGAGTGATTTTAACACTTAGGAAATATAAGACTTCAGCGAGGAGGGTCAGGAAGACTGAAGAGGAAATAAAGGACCTAACAGCTGTGCCTGGTGAACGTCTTGCCCTCTGTTAGGCTTGAAGAACTTGCGATCCAGGAAAATGTAAGCCAAGGCCATAGAAATCAGCCCTGGTCTTTTTCCTAGACCCTCCCCTCAGAATGAGATTGTGGTCTGAGTTGTTTTTATTTTGTTTTGAGACAGGGTCTCTGTAACCCTACTCTGTCTCAGAAGTCGCTGTGTAACTTAGCCTGGTATTGAATTTAAGATAATCCTCCTGCCTCAACCTCCTAAAATTTGAAATCACAGGCGTGAGTTGCTACTTCGTCTGGCTTCTGTACTCTGATGTCTCTTTATTTTCATTTTATTTAAAATTTTTATGTGAGTGGGTGTTTTGTCTATATGTATGTCTATTTACCATGTGTGTGCCTGGTGCCATTGAAGGCCAGAAGAGGACATCAGATCTGCTGGAACTGGGGTTACAAACAATTGTGAACTGCCGTATGAGTGCTGAGAATTGAACTTGGATCTTCTGGAAAAGCAACCAGTTTTCTTTTCTATTTATTTATTTTTTGTTTGTTTGTATTTTGTTTTTTTTCGTGACAGGGTTTCTCTGTAACTTTGGAGCTGTCCTGGAACTCACTTGGTAGACCAGGCTGGCCTTGAACTCACAGAGATCTGTCTGTTTCTGCCTCCCAAGTGCTGGGATTAAAGGTGTGCACCGCCACCACCACAACCCGTGTTCTTAAACTGCTGAGCCATCTTTCCATCCCCTACTCTTAACTTCTTAAGATGTCAACAACATCCCTTTGCAGGGTATTGTGTCAGTCAATTGTGTTAGTTTGTTTTGAGACAGAGTCTCATTATGTAAAGTTGGATGGCCCAGAAGAATTGCTTTGTAGACCAGACTGGCCTTAAACTTGCATGATATTCCTGCTTCTGCCTCCAGAGTCTAGAATTACAGATATGCACCACCATATCTGACTTCATTCTTAATTAGGCTGCATTTATCAAGGCGACAGAAAGAGGGAGGATGACTGCTGTCCTTCAGGGGTATCCCTGACTATACTGACTTACCCTCTCTTCTGTTTGCATAGGTGTAGACGGGGCACTGCCTACAGAGCAGGTCCTGCCAGCCTCGCTGGAGAGGATGCCCCCGTGTCCGTGATGGGCTGTGGGACAAGCAAGGTCCTTCCTGAGCCACCCAAGGATGTCCAGCTGGATCTGGTCAAGAAAGTAGAGCCCTTTAGTGGCACCAAGACTGATGTATACAAGCACTTCATCACAGAGGTAGACAGTGTTGGCCCTCTCAAAGCTGCCAGTCAGCATGCACCTCCATGCCCTGGTGTTCCCACTACTGGCTACACAGAACCTCCTTCAGAACCACCACGCAGGGTCAGGGTGGCGAAGTACAGAGCCAAGTTTGACCCACGTGTGACAGCTAAGTATGACATCAAGGCCCTGATTGGCCGAGGCAGCTTTAGCCGAGTGGTACGAGTGGAGCACCGGGCAACCCGACAGCCATATGCTATCAAGATGATCGAGACCAAGTACCGAGAAGGGCGGGAGGTGTGTGAGTCCGAGCTCCGCGTGCTGCGCCGGGTGCGCCATGCCAACATCATTCAGCTGGTGGAAGTTTTTGAGACACAGGAGCGCGTATACATGGTGATGGAGCTGGCCACTGGTGGTGAACTCTTTGACCGGATAATTGCCAAAGGTTCTTTCACTGAGCGGGATGCCACAAGAGTGCTGCAAATGGTACTGGATGGTGTCCGATATCTGCATGCCCTGGGCATCACACACCGAGACCTCAAGCCTGAGAATCTCCTCTACTACCACCCAGGCACTGACTCCAAGATCATTATCACTGACTTTGGTTTGGCCAGTGCCCGAAAGAAAGGTGATGATTGCCTGATGAAGACCACCTGTGGCACACCTGAATACATTGCTCCTGAGGTCCTGGTTCGAAAACCCTACACCAATTCCGTGGATATGTGGGCACTGGGTGTCATTGCCTACATTCTACTCAGTGGCACCATGCCCTTTGAGGATGACAACCGCACCCGGCTTTACCGGCAGATCCTCAGGGGCAAATACAGTTATTTGGGGGAGGTGAGTATGTCTTGCTTCTGTTCCAGGGATGTTAGAGAGGCCCTTCTGTGGGAAGGTATTAACTCCTGGTCAGAGGGATCTGCTTTGAGGGCAGATCATGGGGACCAGGCAGACAGTGTAGAAACAACAGAGACTAGTAAAGTGTCCTCGTTTGGTTTCTCCTAAATGTAAGTCTTGAGGTGAGGACCTGGGAGCAGAAAGCTTATGTGGGAGGTGGTTCAGTAAAGACAGGAGAAAGTGATGCAGGAAAGAAGTAAGTCTAATGAACAAGTACATTTAGAAGTGGATTGACTAGACTGCTCTACATATCAAGTTACAGACCAGCCAGTGCTGTGTAGTGAGACCCTGGCTTAAACTAAACTAAACAAGTGAGCTGGGTCTGGGGAAATGGCTCAGCTAGTTAGATACTTGCCATGTAAGCACAAGGACCTGAGTTTGATCCTCAGAACCCATGGAAAAGAGATGTAGTGGCATGTGCTTGTCATCTGAGTACTGGGGAGCCAGTGATAGCAGGGCCATCCAGCCAATTGCTGAGTACTCAATTCAGTGAGATACCATGTCTCAAAAATAGGGTAGGGAATGATAAAGGAAATCACTCTCTGGCCTCATCACATATATGCGTGTGTACCTGTACACACACGCACAAATGCATGCACACCCAGACACCACACAGAGAAGTGAACTGCCACTGTGGGCTACTACTGTGGGGTACTAGAACTTAGTCCCACTCCCAACCTTGTGAATAATTATGTGGAATGTGTCACAAAAATGTATCACCAAAGAGCAAGCCTGTGTGGTTAACTAGTCTCTACCCTATGAGTTAAGGATTTGGGGGAGGTGAGGGCTGGAGAGATGGCACCATGGTTCAGAGTGTGTGTGTGTGTGTATTTTTTTTCTCCCAAGACAGGCTTTCTCTGTGTTGCTTTGGAGCCTGTCCTGGAACTAGCTCTTGTAGACCAGGCTGGTCTTGAACTCACAGAGATCCACCTGCCTCTTCCTTCCAAGTGCTGGTATTAAAGGCGTGCGCCACTGGTGACTGCCTGGCTGTGTGTATTGTTCTTGTGGAGACTCTGAGTTTAGTTCTCAGCCCCATGTTGGTCAGCTCTTAACCACTGAGCCATCTCTCCAGCCCTTATCTCTTTCTTATCTCTATTCAGTTTCCTATCTCTGTTCAGTTTTGCCAGACAACAATGAGGACCCATGTATGCTCATCTTTTGATTTAGGATGTTAGAAGTTAGTTTACTTTTGTTTTGAGACAGAGTCTCATATAACCTCACACTCAATATATAACCACTGCCTTAAACGTTTAATCTTCCTGCCTGCTGGGATTATGAGCTTGTACCACCATACCTAGCTTTAGCTCACATATTTAAATAGTAAGTTATATGTCAACAAATGCTAGCCTGTGTGCCAAATTCAAATAGCAACCCATCCAGTTTGTGTATCCAGATCCATGGATACTTCTGATAGTTGCAAAAAAAAAAATGTCAGTTTTTAGTATTGCTGATTGCTAAAGGAAGGTGCAAAGAGAGTCATTGCTGGTTGCCCTTCAGAGGATTCTGACGGGGTTGGGATGAGGCTGACTGCCATAAACTGCGAGCTGGAGAATACCTGTGTGCTTGTGGAAGAGTGGCCGTGCTTTGTGAGAACATGAGCTGAGTTATGCAGGACTATAGGACTCTGCCAAGATAGTGAGGGCCCCTCCCTCAAAGTACAGAGTGCTCCCCTCAGGGCTGGGGCTACCAGTGTGCTATTGTCTGTGCCTCTTTTTGTTGTTATTTTATTTTGGTTTGTGTTTTACTTTTTATTGCTTTACTTATTATTGTATGCGTGTACATAATGTGGGTGTGTGGGCATGTGCATACCGCAGCATGTATGTAGAGGTAAGAGAACACCTTTATGGAGTAGGTTGTGTCTTTACACCTTCATGTAGATTCTAGGACTCAAACTCAGACCATACTTTACCTACTGAGCACATTTCAGTGCCCCTTTGCTTTGTTTGTTTGTTTTTTGAGGGGGAGTATCAAGTAGCCTAGACTGACCTGAAGTTCTGTGTAGCCAAGGCTGGCCTTGAACTGCAATTCTCCTGCCTCCACCTCCCAAATGCTGGGATTACAGGTGTGCCTCACCACTGTCAGATGCCATTTCTGCCATTTTTGTCACTTGCAGAGAAGGGAAGGAGCTCTGGGAGCAACTGTTTTCTGTGACCTAGTTCCCCACAGGGCTTTGGCCCAGCCCTCTCATCCCCATCACCTGGCTCAGAACAGTGTTCCTTGTAAGAGTCACCCAAGGGTCTAGATCACTTTGTTCCAGGGTTTGAGATTACACGCTCTGTCAGCCTCCCTGTTAGTTTGCACATGAGGTTGTTGGGTTAGTTAAGGATGTCCCTTTCTCAGGAATGGAGCTGCTCTTCTCTAAGAGGGTTCTCAAGTCAGACGTTTCAAAGATGGCAGTGATTGAAGGACAAACGGCTTCCTCTCAGTGCAACTCTGTGACAGGCACTGAGGAGGGTTTCCGTTTGCACCATTTATGGGAGAGATGATAACTGTTTACACTGAAACCTGTGCTTGGTCTCTCGAGTGCAGGGGTTGCTAGAGAACACCTGATAGTTTCCACAGAGCCAGCAGCACCATGGAAGGCGCATGCCTGGTCTCCTGTCCTTTGTGGATTTTAAGTGAATGGGTATGTGACTGAAAATTTGATTCTCACATATTTGTGCTGGGCTAGTACGAAACAGCATAAGATGCCACAGGGCAGCCAGCGCATCCTGTAGAGGCACTCAGAATGTTCTGTAGTTTTGATAGGAGGCTCAGGGACTACATTAGGTTATAGCTGAAACTGATGCTTTAAATAGAACATAAATGTTTGAGCCAGGTGGTGTTGGTGTACGCTTTTAATCCCAGCACTTGGGAGGCAGAGGCAGGTGGATTTCTGTGAGTTCAAGGCCAGCCTGCTCTACAAGAGCTAGTTCCAGGACAGTCTCCAAAAGCTACAGAGAAACCCTGTCTCGAAAAACAAAAACAAAATCAAAAAAAGAATATAAATGTTTGAAAGTTGAAAGGTTGCTTCTATTCTGAGCTTTGTATGGTGCCAAGCTGTTGAGGGTCCCTCCAGATGACAGGGCAGCATGGATCTTAGCTAAAGGAGGAAGAGAGAGAGAGAGAGTATCGGTTTCTCACATGGAAAGACTTGAAAAATCTGTAGGAACTCCTAAGAATTTCTGATTCTGGCAATTGTTGATGAAGCAGTTTATTTAATTGGAGCTTGCACAGTGTCACTGACTGTCATTGATTATTTGAGCATGAGGGAATAACAAAAGAGTGAAGTGGGAGATGTACTTGCTTCTACTCAAATTCAAAGACCAGACAACCAGAGATTCTGTGCTCTGCTCTGGGAAGGGTCCAAATGCAGCTGTTGGTAGGCAAGTTGAAGCAGAGACCTTGCTGGAGACGCCTGGCCAGGGCTGCCTGTGGGCACAGACAGAAGGGTTCACAGAACACCAGGAGTGATTGTGCTCTTCATTTAGGGCAAACACGGGGCATTGAAGGAAGAGGAAATGCATGCAGATAGTTAATATTGCAAAAAGAAGTCTTAAGTTTACCTGTTTGGAGGTGCTGGCGTCAAGAAGGCAGTTTGAAAGTGAGGGAACATTCTGTTAAGGGGCAAAGAAGACCTGCATAAGGGTGAGAGAAGACTGAAGACACAAAGCCACCCAAAGGTGCACTTCCTCTAACAGGAGGCTCAGGAGGCTGGAGGAGCTGTTTTACAGGAGAGAGCACAGGATGTGAGTCATCTAGTTCACACTGAAGTATAGTGGGGGTCTCTCTCTCAGCTGCTGTGTTTCACTTGACAAGTGTGACACTCCTTGGCCTGATGTCATTGCTTTTGTCAAGGGTTCTATTCCTAGAGGCAGGATGTATGAAGAGGCTCTTGGAGGTTGATGGCAGAATGATGCCGTTCTGCTGTCTTTCGAATTTAGAAGCCTGAATTTTCATCCTCCTCCACTTGGGCATTCTGAGCCGTGGGTGAGCCTCGGTGACTACACAAGGAGCCCAAGTGCCTCTGAGAAGGTGACAGAGTTGTGGGAGAAGAAACTCACCCTGCTTCTGCCTGGGAAATATGGGGTAGTGGGAGGTGGTCCCTGGGCTAGCTAGCCATCCTTCTTTTTGGAGCCAAGGGTTCTTGAGGGCAGTGAGCTGGACTAATACTGTTTAATTCTGATCACCTGTGATAAGATGGGCTCCCAGAGTCAGCTCTTCCCTGACCCGCTCCTCACCTCACTCTTCCTCACTTCCTTTATCATAGCGCTTGCACTCGGGGTTATATGATGTTCCAAAGTTTATAACTGCCATTTCAAGAAGATACAAATAAGGGACACTGGGACTTGCCTCAGGACCAGCACTTGGACAACATGGCATGGCAGGATGAATGAAGACATGAATCTTTTTCTCTCTGTGCAACAGCCCTGACTGTCCTGGAACTTGCTTTGTACACCAGGCTGGCCTCAAACTCACAGAGATACACTTGTCTCTACCTCCCAAGTGCTGGAATTAAAGGCGTGTGCTGCCACCACCCAGCACGATGCAGTTTTCTATTCCAAGTTGAACTGGATCACATTGGACAGGACCTCAGTTTTCACCATTTTGTCTGCCCTAGACAAACTAGATTGCTGATACCCTCAGACAGGCCTTCCTTAATACCTAGCAACATGTGCCTCTGAAAGGTGGCCTTGTTTGGGCCACTGGGTGTGTAGTGGATTCTCAGTGGCTGGCAGGAGACCTATCCTCGTTTGGAATCCTCTTTTAGGAAGATAAGGGCTGTTTTCTATGTGATGGGGCAGGAGACAGGCTCTGAGGGAAGAAGGCAGAGCCCCATCATGTGCTACCTCTCTGGCTGCAGGCTCCAGAGTGTAATCCTTTAGGCGTTTTTCTGTTGCTGCTGCCCTGGTTACACACTCCCCAGAGAGCAGTACCTTGCCTGTAGTGGCAGAAGCAGCTGC